AGTCACTTTAAGCACACGCTATAATTCACAACGATTCACACACTTATTTACGGTCACTACCGCGCTTGACTCAGTTGTCCGTCTTTATTTCTGCCTGTCTGCAATTCAGTTCCGACTGATTTGTCTCACGTTATCCGGCGCACTTATATACAGGAATAGAGGGCGCCTAGCACATACTGGATTATTCGTGATGTTCCCCGATCCTTCGAGAATATCATGATGTGTTACCGCAGTCACGTGACTACCGCTGTCGTAATAGTCCCTTCTTAAAAAACTGTTTTCTACTCGTACATTTGTTTCCCAAAAAAAGTTTTCAATAAAGAAAAATTACAGAAATGCGGCCTTACATTGTCGAGTTCAAAGTACACTTAAGATAAGCTAAGCCTGATATTAAAATTAACTACTTTTTAAAGCACAAATTAAGTAAAAAAAAAAAACGCAAGTTAACTAAAAATCAATTACAAAAATATTCAGTTAATTACCCAACTACGTTCAATTACCTTTGAATATAACGTATACCTTTGAAAATGACGTACTTAGTATTTCGAAAGTAGTCTGGAAATTAACTGTATAATTTTTTACATTGATCTTTATTTACCTTATGTATTTTACCTAATTTGTGATTTAAAAAGCAGTTAACCTTAATATAATTAGAAGATCGTACTAAATTCTTCATAACTTGAGCTAAGCCTACTTGACGTTGGTCATTACGTTGTAACGATTTCATAACATTTTCCACAGTATTATTCTTACCAGTTGTCATTGCCTTACACGTTGATATTTTTTAAAGTTGTTCTACTATTCAGATTTTTGCCTGAAAGTACTAGATGGTTGGTATCTGTTGGACGTTACGAAGAAGCAGTAATAATTCTGACTGAAATGGCCAAGACAAATGGACGACCTGTGCCTCCTGATCTAGTGAAAAGACTGACAGTAAGTTAATTTATATTTTAATATTTGAATAATTTTATGTGATTATATGTCACCGCTTAATGACTGACTTTACAAATAAGCATTTTAGGCTTGTTGATTAAGAATATGTGGTCGTGTTATTATATTACGTAAATCCATCTCATGTTAAGTCACTGACGCTTGTATTTAGTACTTAAATACAAGCGTATATGACTTAACAATCTATATTCGCTGCTTTGCTCGACTTTTTGGCACAAACAGAAATTCTCTTACAACTCTAAATCCCTAATGAGATTAAGTATTAATTTGGTATTACGCACATGAGTGAATCGTAACTTTCGGTAATATAATTGAAGGCCTATCATAACAGCCCTATTTATGTGAGGGATAAAACACCGAATCTGGCAAATCACAAACTTTTTCACAGTCGTAACTGTATGAAAACATTTATGGTACATTACAAGTATCTAAGTTAAAAAGTCATTTTTTGAAGAAATTTATTTCCATATAAATAACAAATTGACAGATATCGTGAATATCACAGTGTACTCGTTTACTTTTAACTCAAAATTATTCACGTATTCAAAATAATAATTCTTATATTTTTATTTTCTAGAGTGAACAACAACAACGACAACACTAAATTAAGTACAGAAAAGTTTTTAATGGCAAAAAATAAAATATTCATATAATATTGTTACGTAACAATATATAATAATTTCTCATCTATCGTTTTCGATTATTAATATTATTTATATTATATTATATTATTGTTTTTTTCATAAACACCTAGGAACACAAAGACATTTTTACTTTAACAACCATTTTCTTCAGCTGAAATTTACTGAACTAGAAAAAACACTGGTTAATTCTTGTTCAGAAATATTGGTCTGAGCGTGGCCTAGTGAAAGGCCGAAGGTTCGAGTCGCGATGCTTCTGAACAGGCTTTATAAAAGCTTGATTGCAGTATCTGGACAAAAACAAAACCTGTATTAGCGGGTAATACTGAACAGTCAGGAGTGCAGGATTAGGAGCTGCTATACCTGAACCTTGGCGGTCTCTAACCTAACCGTTTCGCTCATACGTGCAAAATTGTCGTCCTGGTATAAAATACCAACACCTATGAAATATTTAGTTATTTCATGAAATATCCATCGAAACGTTCTTCTGTATTGTATTGGTAGTGTCTTTGTTAGTTTTTATTAATAGACA